GAAACGTGAATTGGCCACATACAAAAATCAAATTAAAAAAAGAAACATTGATCATAATGTCCATTCGGTTTTAAAAGGGTTTTCTTCCATCTGAACAACATCCAATGGCTCTTTGGACCTAAAAGGTACTACCTGTTATTGACATAGGTAGTAACAGTCTATGTACACAAAGTTATTACTTTGTATATTGGGCCATTTGTGTTTTTAATGTTGAAATATAAGACAGTAACACAATTGCTATAACTTTAAGGCTTCTAGTAGTCAGAAAAAAATTAATTGCCATTGGCTGCATTATTGAAACAAAGTGATCTCCTTACTCAACCTTAGTCAGTCTTTCTCACCCTAGCCAAGTCATTATCATTCGTCAGAGTGTTTGGGGTATGGGGAGGAACCATTGCTTTGAACTCTTCAGGTGAAGAGAAGGATACAGAAATATCACTGAATGAGTCCATAGAAAAAAATAGCCAATCGAATCTAGAGATGCTGGTGTGTTCAAATACGCATTTGCTTACTTTACTTTCAGCTAAGCTTTTCTTCCCAGTGGGGTCTCAAAACATCTTATGTCATTTTCCTCTCCTCCCTTTTATCCTACAACAACCTTGAGAGGTAGATCAAGACGGGTAGCCATGTTAATCTGTCTGTAGCAGTAGAAAAGAGCAGGAGTCCAGTAGCACTTTAAAGACTAACAAAATTTGTGGCAGGGGATGAGCTTTCGTGAGTCACTGATGCTCACTGCTTCAGATACAAAGTAGAAATGAGCAACAGTGACTCACAAAATCTCTTCCACTGCCACTAATTTTGTTAGTCTTTAAGGTGCCACTGGACTCTTGCTTTTTTCTATGGCTTGAGAGATAGGCTAGGCTGAGTATGTGTGACTGGCCCAAGGTCACCCAACATCCATGGCAGAGAGGGAATTTGAACCTGGATCATCCAGATCCCAGTATGACACTGTAACCAATGCAACACCCTGCCTCTCACCAGACATCTATCTAGGTCGTTTCTGTGTATGGCTGTTCTTTTAATTCCTGTAATCAGATCTGGTGGGCCATGACAACAGTAATGGATGATGTACCTCTTGCTTTGTTATTTCTGGAGGGATACAGAAATTATATTAAATACACATTTACATAACATATATGCTTAGGTTTTTGTTGTTTTACAATGACATATAATCATCACCACCACCTTTTATAACAGCACTAAATTTCTGGCTATGGACCTTCAGATATGCCTATATGAAGAAACAAAGATATCAAGCTACTTCTTTCATTATAGCAAAGAGTGAGCCCATTATACAGACTGAAGCTTTATGTACATATCAGAAATCCTGTATCCATAAAACAGTAGCTGGATATGAATCAAACAACAGAGGGTTTGATCAAAGAAATCTGTTATGAATCTTACATTTAAAGTTTCTTGTTTGTCCAGGAGAACAAAAAATTACCTCTTACATGAAAAAGATCCAGTAAATAATTATACTGAAATACTTATGTAGATACAGAAACCTGTACAGCAACTCTTACAGTGTTTTAACAATTTCTAGAATATGCACATTTCCACCAGGATTTTCCACTGTGACAGGAAAAGTATCAGAACATATGTACACAGGGTTCAAAACTCTACTATGTGTTTCTGAATTTCGTTCCTGTCTCATATAAAGCCAAGTAACCCGAATCTGCAACTTTCCTGCTAAAATAAATATATGAAATAAAAAGCTGAAAGTGTAGCAACCCTTAAAGAACAGCAGGAAAACACAGCAAAGTTCATTTTTCCTCTATTTTTTAAAAAAATCTAAGTAATATTTTAAAGCCATGGTAAAGAGCTGTTGGTGCAAAAATACTGTTGAATGCCTCTCCCCTTTCCCCAATTTCACAATAAAATGTTTTTAAAAATTGCTTTAAAATCATTTTTTATTATTATTAGAAGCACTAGGAATTAGAACTGGGAATTAGAAACTGTTTATTTACCTTCCAACACAATTTCTTCTGAAACTATCCTTCAAATATTCTGACCATTTTTACTAAATAACTTCCAGAATCTGAAGAATAGGGGCTGCTTTATTTCATGCTATTTTTTCTGACACCGGTACACATACACATTTCTAAAGCTGTAAGTTAATTATATGCAGATTCAGCAGCTTCTTGTACATGCAGAGTTCTAGCATGGATATAGAGCCTCTCAATATGCAAGGGCTTTCCTACTCGTTTAGTGTCAGGAACACATCCCACGGAAAGCATGGAACCACCTACATTGATGGGTTGGATGCGATCAACCGAGCCAGCTGGGAACTCTCTGCATGCAAAGAAACCAGAGGATTCTGGACTGGTCCAATAATGTGTGAACAGTAATACACAGAATTATTCCCTCCTAAAGAAAACTTGCAACATCTGGACCCATTTCTGCCTTTTCTCAAATTTACAAATGGACATGTGTCATTTTAAACGACAGTACTTCAAAATGTAACAAAGATCCCAAAGAAAGCTCTCCTACAGGAGCCATCTCTAATTCCGAATAGTGCACAACTGCATCAAAATGATAACGTGTTCTATCACGTGTTTTCACCCCATAAAACATTTAAGAGTAACTATAATCCAATGACACTTTGGCCCAACTACACTTTACAGAGTCCTCAGATTGTGTCCCAATTATGCCACAAGGACTTTCAATGACATGTGAGGTGAGCGTTTTCCACTGGGAACTCAATATCCAGATGTGCAGCAGTCCAGTTTGTATCATGACTACAGGGAGAGGGTGCTTAAATTCTCTTCCCCATCTTTCCAACTTGAACTAGCCTCTGGGGGCTGCTCCTTGCTCTGCTGTGGTCTTCACAAGTACTGATGGGATACATACCGGTTTCCTCTGAGGCAATCCACAACCCCTAGGAGCCATTTCAGATCAGGAAAGCACAGAATTACCAGATGCCTGCTAATGGCATGCAGACTGCTGGTAATATTTGCAGGTACCAGCTAACGCTCATCTGATCTGTGGGCAGAAGCAGGCAGGCAAAAGGGGGGGGGTTATCTTTGTTGCCACATGATGACGTCACTTCTGGGGCAAACTGGAAGCATCCCAGCATCGCACTGCGCCAATACTCTAGCACTTGCCCAGAAACTCCACAGAGTTTGGAGGTGAGTTCTGGGTTTCACTGCAAGTGACGTTATGGCATGGTGACAAAGATCACCGCCCCACTGTAGTCGCCTCCCCTCATCTCCTGTGGGTTGCCAGGCCAACCCTAGGAAAACAGCCTGGGAAGGAGGCTTAAGCACCCTCACATTGTACACCACAGTCCCGAAATGAATCAGGCTCCTATGCGCCCGGGAATTAAGTTCACAGAAGGGGAAGGCATCACATGTCTGATTCAGAGTACTTGAGGACTGTGGAAATGTAGTGATGCCCTTAAAAAACTGGTTAGTTATAACCATGACCTTTAGAAGTTTAGTGACTGACAGGGAGAATTATTATTTTCCTCATTATGTTATTTGTCTTCTTTGCAACTTAGTTCATCAACACAAATCTCTTTAACAATTATTAAAAAAAATTTTGCAGTGCAGCAAACAGAATGAAGAACATAATATTATGCAGAAACTGATGTAATACTATTTACATTTAGTAATGGCAGCAATCAGGGCATCCTTCCCCCACCCACAAAAAACATTTTACTACAAAATTTTGCCTATTAAAAATGCATGATGTGTCTCCATAAGTGTTCGCTTTCAGCCATTTACAAACCTGTGTATAAAAAGCAAAATTACAATGCGAGTCCAGTACATCCTGAAATTAAAATGCACTTGTCATTTAGTGCTGTTATTAAGCTCAGCATTGGTTGTTTCCAAGATGAAACTTTTGTTTCCCTTCTGGCATCCAAGCTGGAGCAGGATTTTTTTGGGAGAATCCACATGAAATCATCCCTCAGTCACCCACATTCCAGAGTTTCTCCTGCTTTTACACGATTGTTCTTAAAACTTGGCATGATAGACAATTTTTTTTTTTGAAAGCTCAAAGTACCTTTGCTTGATGTGTGGATAGGAAAGTGCATATTTTTGATGGCCCTGCCCATGCAACAGCATTTTTCTTGCCTCAGGACCCATGCCCCCCCCCCACTCTTAGGGTTGCCATTTCCAGTTTGGGAAATCCCTGGAGATTTGTAGGTGGTACCTGGAGAGGACAGAGTGTGGGGAGCGGAAGAGACCTCAGCAGGTCTGCTGTGCCACAGAGTTCACCCTCCAAATTCCTCCAGGGGAACTATAGTCTGCAGATTAATGTAATTCCAGGAGAACTCCAGATCCCAATTGTTGGGTTGACATCCTCATTTCTACTGGATGACTTTTGGGGGCCTTTTAAAAAAAATATCAGCAACTGATCGATCCCTAGCAAAAGCAAGGTAATATTATAACGAAGTACTGCCTCTGTCTACAAGCTCCTCTGAATCCCCAGCTTTCACTTTTTAAAAGTAATTGTCTAGCTATTGACTTTTTAAAAGTGAAAGCTGGGGATTCGGAAGGGTTAGTAGGTCATGGCAACAGATCATTATAACACTGTTTGCTTTGACTGAGCAATTGCCCATTTATTTCTAAAGCCTGAAAAAGCCTGGTGGTGGTGATGATGTAAGGAGATGAGGATGTAAGGACAGCATGGATCGGTGTGCTTTTTCAGCAGCAGCAGGGCTATTTTTGGGCAGGAACGCACAGGAACGGAGTTTCTGCTGGGCTGGCTCCTGAGTTGGCCACGCCCAGCAGGAACTCATTAGCATAATAGGCCACACCCAACAGCAGAAACTCATTAGGATTGGCTACATTAGGGGTGTGTGGCCTAACATGCAAAGGAGTTCCTGCTACAAAAAAAGGCCTGGGTTTTGACAACAAACAAGCTAAACAGAATAAGAAGCAAAATGTGGGTGTGGCTGGATGACCACACATTTGGTAACATGGGGGGGCGGCCAAATGGGCTAATGAGCTGTGCTGTCAGGGGTGTGGCCTAATATGCTAATGAGTTTCTGCTGTTGGGTGTGACCTATTATGCTAATGAGTTCCTGCTGGGCTTTTTCTACAAAAAGAGCCCTGACAGCAGCAACAGATACACACAGCGGCCGAGAGAATCTCCACTGAGTGGAAGCAGCCATGGCTAGGGTGCCTTCAGAAGTTGTGTGTGAAGTGCACCCATGCTTCCTCTTTTTGCACTACCAATATGAAAGTTTGGACTTAATTTTAAATGTAGGTTTCTAGCCCTCACTGTTACAACAAAAAGCTCGAAGGATTATGGCAACACGATTCTAATACTTAGAAACCAGAAGGTATCAGATAAACTGTATGGTTATCACTTCTGCCCAAAAGAGCATCATAGCTTTCCTTTCTCTCTTTTTCATAATCCGTCAAGGAGGAAGGAGATGCTGTGGGGCATGTCTGGCTTAGGTAATAGCATGGTTTTATGTTCTCTCACTGCTTCATGTACAGGCCAATGTGCAAACTACACATAAAGCATTTTTTCACTACTTCTTCACAAATGGTTACAAAGAAATACATCATAGGCTCTGCCACCTTCAATAGAGGCAAGTTATGATACTGTACAGTAAAAAATATTCATCTCACTAATTGGCCCTTTGTACCTCAACAAAGGTGCCCGTGACCTAAAATTTATATATAAAACATTATTTCATACTAAAGATTATTCATCCCTGAAAACATCACTTTTTATATTTCAGATATTTTAAATCAGAAGCTTTCCTTCTTCTGTACATATCTGGTCTCTTACTGAGATAAAACCCATCCTCCCATAAATTAGTATTCTTTGTGATTTATATAAAAATACTAAATCAGTTATCAAGACATTGAAGGGCCCAGTACTCCATGATATTACTGCAAGGGAAGAGAACTCTGCACGCTTGGAAATTTCATATTCCGTAGCTGCAGAAATATATAATCACAACTGGTTGACCAGAGTCATGTTTTGTTTTTTTTCTGGTCAAGTACCTGTGGAAATGACTTTTCATCAGAGGGTTCACACATTCAGCTGTATCATGGGGCCCTTCCCTACTTGCCACAGTTCCAAAGATGTATAATGGCTGCTAGTGCTTAGCTTTCTTCAAGCCTGGAAACCGCCCTGTGGCTGCTGATTTTCACTGACAAGGACGAAGGACTTAGAACAACAATGACAGGAGACCGTTTCAATAACGATTCTACATCAGCAGGCACAAGTTATTAATTTTTAAAAATACCGTTCTTTTACCATTTTTCATAATAATGTTCGTTGCTTGCATGATTTGCAAAAAGAAAGCATAGGGTTGGATCTCATGGAGGACCCCCATGCAGAGAAACTGGGGCTGTTTTAGCCAATCCCTTCCACTACAAACCTCCAAGGCTATTCCTGGGGAGGTCCCCTTTTCCCCAGAAGCAGCATTTTGGGCTGCAGCAGGAGGGAGATTCCACTCCATGATCAGGAATCTCTCCTGTCCACAGAAATTTCTGGTGGATCCAAGCCATTGCATGAATATGGCAACATGCACAGCTTTCTTAAAACACAGCACACAGTGCTGTGAAGCTGTACCACATTTATGTGATTTGCATTCTTTACCTACCACCTCTTGAGCATTTTTTAAAAAATTCAGGTATGCAGAATAGTTGTGTGTCTAATAACCAGGTTATTAGAGACACCTCTACCACCACATGACTCCAGAAACACAAACCAAGATGTTCCGGACAGCCCACCTTTAAGCTCTTCTTAGGAATTAGTTAACGGTTGTAATCGACTGCCAATTCAAGATGTCGGACTCTACTCAGAAAAAAAGTCACCAAAATGTTTAGCATGATAGACAAATCAGCCAATTTGAACAATTCCCTTCCCATCACCATCTCAGTTGTTATCTGAAGTACAGCCCCCACTACCACCACCACAGGGAAATCACTTCTGGATAAGATCTCATCTAGCAGCCGCTCCAGCTCATCATTCACGCTTTCTAGGAGACATTTTTGTAAAGCGTACGTTATTGTTAATTCTTCATCAGCAAGGTGTTTGACTATTTCTTTTAGCAACTCCGTTCTTTTACAGTTCATTGCTTGATAGACACACATGATGCAGCAGTGGGCGGCTGTTAACATTCACTTGTCCTTTCACTGGTAATAAAGTAAGCACTTTCACTTGAATTCTGGTTCTCGTTGGGCCCTCTCAGAGGATTCTTCTCTGGAGTTGCACTTTTTCCCAAGCAGCTGTCATCATCCCCGGGATGGTCATCCAGGCTATCTTCATCATCTTCCCGAGGACGGCCCTCTTTACTATGTCGTATACCATAAGCAAAATAAATAAGGAAACCTACCAAAAAGGGGAGGAAAAAGAGTTTTTTCCAGGCCTGTCAAAAATCACACAATATGTCTATATTACCTGTGCCCAGGATTAACAGACCAGATCTCAAACACACTGTTAAATAAGGAGATCAGGGTAGTATACATAATTCTCCATCCGTTTTATCCTTAAAATAGCCCCCTGAGACAGGTTTGGCCAAGAGAGAGAATAACTGGTCCGTGGCTAACCAGTAAGATTCATGGCAGTGCAGGACTTCCCAGCCGTAGCCCAACACCAGTCACTACAATGGCTCTCAACTGAAAGTAAAAGGCAAAGGTAAAGGTTCCCTTACTCGAAAGCCAGTCGAGTCCGACTCTAGGGCTGCGGTGCTCATCTCGGTTGCAAAGCTGAAGAGCCAGCGCTGTCCGAAGACATTTCCGTGGTCATGTGGCCGGCATGACTCAACACCAAGGTGCACGGAATGCTGTTACCTTCCCACCGAAGTGGTCCCTATTTATCTACTTGCAATTTCTTGCTTTCGAACTGCTAGGTTGGCAGGAGCTGGAACTAGGGACGGGAGCTCACTCCATCATGCGGCACACTCGGGTCTCGAACTGCTGAACTACTGACCTTCCACAGCCTGCAGTTCAGCGTCTTAACCACTTGAGCCACCGCAGCTCCTCAACTGAAGGACTGAGACACAAACTCTCAGTAACTGTCAACCCAATATGGATGACAGTGAATTTAAAGCAAAGAAGGAAGTCAGATAAGGTATGGGCTGCACTGCACATCACAAAGGTGACAGAAGGGAGATGTTAGAGTTTCTATTTTCTACCACCTTTTCTAACATGTACAAGGCAATATGTATTTCACTGTGCATCAGCCGTTAGGTAGGGATCCTTGCCACATGGAAACACTATAAAAATATGTTTGTCCTTCAAACATGCAAGGCGGTCCTTAGCTAAAGGCTCAAAAGCCTTGCTCAAGTACATTGGTGAAAAGATGGGCTATGCCACTGCGTGAATGGAAAGCTTCCTCGCTAGTCCATTTTGAGATGCATAATGGAAGGGGTGGAGGGATAGTGGTATAATTAATACATTGAAAATAAATTCCTGCGGCTCATTTTCCTCTCCATTTTCTATATGCAGCTTTGGCAAGAATGATAAAATCAGTTTCCTCTTCATTTAGAGCAACTTCACACATTGGCACGGACCACTTCAACTACTATCCAACTATGTAATCGTATCGATAAGTGAAAATGCCAACGTTTTGTCACCGTATGATAAGTTCAGAAGGCGGCATTTTCCTTTGCTCAGAGGCACATCTATACCACAACCCAGCACAATGCTAGAAACCTGAGTATGTGAAGCTGCCCTTACAGTGCTACTTAAATGTTTATTCTGTGACACCTACAGCCAGGAACACTTACCAAGAGCCATCCAGATGCTAAAGCGGGCCCACGTCTCTCCACTTAACTGTACCATCAAGTAAATATTGACCAGGATACTAAAAGATGGCAAAAGTGGCAAGAATGGAACCTAGGGACAAGTATTTCACAATTCAGCACTTTTAGCGAATACTGACCATACTCATTTTGTTCATGTCCATTACAAATGCAATTAAACAGACATATCCATATACCCATATTTTTTTAAAGAAAATAATTCAATCTTCAGCAAATCCTAGCTCCTAGTACAACTCTTCCCACTCCCCAGGCCAAAGCAGAACTTGGGACTTTTGCTCTCATTATAACTGTTAGCTATATTAGGAAAACCTGGGACTCTGCCCATAACACCTGTTAAAACTATCTTAATCTCTGTATTTTTTCCCTTAATTATATTTGCATTTCACCATAATTACTTCTCACCCTTTACTTCCTGCATTTCATGATCCTTTAAATCTGCTTTTGCTTATTTTTTTAAAACCTTCTAAATAGATTGATTGTGTAGTGAGGATCTGCTCATTCCACCTGAAGAAACAGACAGTAGTCCAAGAAAACGTATGCTGCAATAAGATTCCGTTGATCTTTAAGGTGCCACAGGACTCCTGTTTATTTTTTGCAGCCACAGACTAAAAATGCCACGGAATCAGTCTCTAAAGTAGACCGAATACATGTTCTATAAAAATATGCCATAATTAACTACAGCAGTCCCTGGCACGTTTATTTTTACCATTAAAGTTCACATGGGGCTTTCTCCAAAATGTCAGAATTACAGCTAGTCACAGAACACACACACACCCCCAAAGTGTATACGGACTCAAATTTGCAACATACCATAAACGTTACTTTTTGTTGACTTTGAGGTTGCCTCCAGATGGCAAATATGACAATGGCGAGCAGTGCTGCGAGAGCTGCAAGAAGGCCAATACTCCAGAGCTCCAGATTAGCAAGGAAATTAATCCCATAGGTGATCAGAATGCTTAAGCCACAAACTACAACGGCTATGTAGGAGTTGACCAAAAGAAAAAAGAAAGATAACGTTTCAGTATTTCAAAATCTTACAAAGTCAACCCTTTACATAATATGCAAGAATTTTAGCACTGTGCTAGCTACTTTCAAAAATTAAATCGAATGGATTTGAGGTAGCTCTCTAATGCTATTTCCAGCCAGTGCGCATACCGCCCCCCCCCCCTTTTCCTCTCTCAGTCCTACACTTGAAATTGAGGATAAGCTCCATGATTGTGACTGTGCCTTGTTCCAGATTTGCTCTTCTGTTGAATGTCACCATTTCCATCCAACTTACCCAGCAAGCCCACCAGAAAGCTGACCATGGTGGCAGACTGTTCGGTTGGCAGACTTGACGGATTAATCAAGGTTAAGAGGCTGAAACTGTGCCCTTGCAGCATACTCATTTGAGATTCACTTGCCATTGATTCCCTCTCTGATCCTGCAAGAGACTCTTTTTCTGTGGAATATTTGGGTTGCTCATAATTTAAACTGGGTTGGTACCTGTACACAAATACACAAAAACAGATGTTCCAGTATCACCAGGCTCAAAGGAAAGAGAAGCAAGACCAAACCTCAGATCACGTCAATACGTTATAGTCTAAGAGCTATTTCTGTTGTGGCTCCCACTCTATGGAACGGCCTAAATGAAATGACCAGGAAAGTTCCCAATCTTCTATCATTCTCCAAAATGTGTAAAATGTTATTATTTAGCAGGGCATTTCTGTAAAGGGAAGTAGGCTGTAGTAATGTCCATGATTTTAGCCTGTTCATTGGATATTCTATACCAGTGGTGGTGAAACTTTTAGAGACCGAGTGCCCAAACTGCGACCCAAAACCCACTTATTTATCGCAAAGTGCCAACACGGCAATTTAACCTGAATACTGAGGTTTTACTTTAGAAAAGACAACCCATACATTAATTTAAGATGATCCAAACAAAGTAAGGAAAGCAATCCCAAATGCTTTCATTTACTGAAAATTATTTGGCAGAGAATTCAACACTTTAATGATGGTCTGGGCCTGGCTGGGGCGATGGCATGCATGCCCACAGAGAGGGCTCTGAGTGCCACCTCTGGCACCCGTGCCATAGGTTTGCCACCACTGTTCTATACTATTGGGCATGTGTTGATCTTCTTAATCTTATGATCTGACACCATTGCGTTGTTTGTTGTTTGCATTATGCTGTCCTTATTTGCATTGTGTTTAAGTGCATAATCCACCTTGCGCCCCAGTTAGAAAGGCAGGCTATAAACGAAGCAAATAGAAAGAGCCTTCAGAGCCACTCCGCCAGCAAAGCGAAAAACACTTCTTATTTTGTGCAGCATTTCTTCAGTAATGGACACTTGATTTAGAGACCATACAATCTATGCAGTGAGGACGCCACCTTCCCTTATCAGACACAGCCGCCCTCGTCACAAATCCTATAGGAAGGACAGAGTCCAGGCTCTCTTAATGTTGCAAGATATCCAGCAAACAAGGGAAGAAGAACAGGTAGGAGAGGCCAAAGGCTTCTTAAAATACACGTATTTTAAAGTGGGAAATAATGTAGGTGTACAAACAGCCAAACAAAAGATCTAGCTGCTCCTGAGTGCAGTGCTGCAGAATTTCAACTGTCCCTAAACATCCAAAACCACATAATCCAACGGGGAGATAAAAATCAGTCTCAGAAGTGGAATGCAGCTGGAACATCACCTCCCCTCAGCAAGGCACTAGGCATGTTTGCAGGCGACGTGAACTGGGATTAAACAGTCCGTGAGACAAATTTTCCACTACTGATGGCACATACTGTTATTGATGAATAAAGGTATCTTGATGGCAGATACTTTACACACATAGTTTAGTAGGTCATAGTCAGTTGCACAAATCGCTTCTGTCTGATTTAGACAACTAAGAGTCTGATGGTGTAATAACGATTTTTTAAAATGTAGTATAAGCTTTGGAGGGGCAGATCTTACTTTATCAGATATGTACCTAATTTATAGGTCAACCTCAGTAGTAAGGGGTGTCTGGACTGCACTGTAAACCATTTTTAAGACTACATTTAAATGATAAACAAGTGGGACTCACCTAAGAATGAGAACACAGGCCGCAACGAGAGAGTAGGCAAGAAGCGTACCAATAGACATCATGTCTACTAAGGCTTTTAGGTCAAAAAGAAAAGCCATTAGAGCTAGAAAAACCAAGACAGAATTTGTATTAAAATGCACATATTAACAAAAACGTGGGATTTTGCTACCAATAATCTATTAACATTTAATCTTTGCCTTAAGAGCAGTGAAAGTGGTTATCCAATTTGGGGGGGAATCATCCTCTGACAAACTATGGAAAATGGGGGAACACAGCCAAAATCAAAGGCTGCATCATGGTAGGATTTCATAACATTTTGTGACACATATATCTGGAGACATTTTACTGACCTAATTCCACCTTTCCTTGACCTGGATAGCCCAGGCTAGCCCAATCACGTCAAATTTTGGAAACTAAGCAAGGTCAGCCCTGGTCAGTATTTGAATGGGAGACCACCAAGGAATACCAGGGTCCCTATGCAGAGGCAGGCAATGGCCAAAACACCTTTGAATGTCTCTTGCTTTGAAAACCCTACAGGGCCACTATAAATCGGCTATGACTTGAAAGGGAAAAAAAAATCCCCCTCTGAAATTTGGCAACCTCAGTGTTTACCCAGCCAATATTACTGTTAGTTTTCATAAAAGAAAAGAACTTTTTATTTGCATAACGCACATCATAAATTTAAATGCATGCAAAACATGTAAGGGCAAAATGGACTAGGGACATTTCCTATGCAATCCATGGTAATTGTACAATCTGTGTCCTTGTGCAAATCCAATCTATTTTTACAGGGTCTGGACAGGAAATGTTCCTGGTGCCTTGTACCCATATCAGGTGTCTCTCCTTCTGTTTCCTGCAGAAAGCTCATGCAAAAGGATTTTGAACCCCCAAGCACTCATAAAAGACAGTCCCTCTTTAAACAGTGTTAAAACTAATCAAAAGTATTGGAGAGAGGAGAAAATGCCCAAATCATAAAATAGATTTACTTGGATAGACTATAAAAAATGAAATCCAATAATACTAGTGTTTTATGCAGACATAACCCTGGCTTCTTGCAGACCATAGTTTACAAACTAGAAGCCCACCTCCTCCAAAACAATTCCTTCTGTTCTCAATGTTAACATCAACGTAACCTATAATGAATGCCCGTCAGTTTCCTACCTAGCCCCAGTTTGCAAATCCACTGCAAAACATGGTTCCGGGCAGAGGTCATTTCGGGGGGGAACGCGGTTCCCCCGGGTGAGGTGCAGGGGGGCGGGGCACATGACGAAGCCCCGCTCCCTGCTTCCGGCCGCCCCGCTTCCAGCCCTCATTCAGCCAGGAGGAGGCAGGAGAAGAGGGAGGGTAAGTTGCTTCCTCCCCGCCTCTCCCCACCCCTGCCTGCCTGGAGCCAGGAAGGGCCTTGGCAGGGCTTCCTCGCACTCCCGCTGGCCTTGCAGGTCCACCGCCGGGCCCCTGATGTCAGGGGGTGTGGCATATGCTAATGAGTTCCCCTAGCTCTTTTTCTATGAAATGACCCCTGGTTCCGGGGTCCAGTTTACAAAGACACTGCATGTTGGTGCACATGTAATGTAATATGGAAATAAAGGGAAAGCTACTCTGGAGAAGGAAGAATACAATTTCCCTCTCCGTGCACATTTTAGCTTTCATCTGCGGGAAAAGTAGTTATCTGAATTTGCCCTTAACTGGCAACCTTTCTTAAAAACCTTAGCATCTAAACCTCTGAACACTGTTTAAAATGGAGAGGCTATCCATAAAAAAATTAACAGAAATGCAGTATAAAGCTTTCATGCCACATGCCTTTTGTTGGGAACATCTTAGGCAGAAAGAGATTTATTTAGGAAGTTCTTAGATGAAATTGCACCAGGGAGCAGAACTCAATGTCAGTGTTGAAAAAGGAGGAGAGTTTATCAAAGCATTCGCTTAACACTTCCTTCCTGACACATGCACACCACAGCATCCTTTAGCCCACAGGAGGAAAGCTTAGAGAAGACATCCAAGGAGTCTGACTTCTTCCACCATCACTACCACCACCACCACCACCACTACAATTCAGAATTGCTATGCCTTCTGATTAGTCAGCAACTGCATTCCTAATTTACATGCATGGGAAATTAGCAAGCAGCCTCATCTTCTCACAGGGTTATGCACATAACAGGGCTTAGGTCCCAATTAAGCAAGACCTGAATGTACCAAGCTTACCAGAAATGCACCCTGCTGTCAGCGTGGCAGCAACAGGAGACTGCCTCTTGCTCACTTTGGCAAGAAATCTAAAGAGTAAACCATCTCGTGCCATGGCAAACAGAATGCGGGGCAAAGGGAACATAGAGCCCAGAAGACTAGAACAAAAGAATTTAATTGTTCAAGTGCTACGGTAACAGTATTATTCTCCATTTCAAAACCAAACACAAACCAAGGATGGGGGGGGAAAAATTCCCGGTAAAATGCACATGTTGTCAAAAGAATCCCAATAACCAAAAATAAGATTTGCAAAACACAAAAGATTAACTAGCTTTACTCTTAAGGGTCATGTTTTATTCTTCCAGCCATAACAAAGCCCTAACTGCCTGCCAAGGAGGTATTTCTGTATTGAATCATGGGTGAGTGTGTCCATCTTCCTTAAAATAAATTAGTTCCCAGCCTCACCTGCTACAGCCCCGGACGATAAAGTAGCAACAAGCGGAGTCTTCGTTTTGGGGTTGACTTGAGCTAGACATTTGAAAAGCAACCCATCCTTCGCCATAGCATAGATTACACGTGGCATTGGAAAAATGGATCCAAGGAGACTGAATAAAAAGCAAAACAACATGCAACAAGACCAACACAACTTCATGCGATGCATTGAAGAAGCAAGAAACCGCGCTAATTAAAAGCATGTAGTACCAGAAATATAACCTAGAAACATGAGCCACTACAGTTTAGAGGCAAGATTTTCTTGAATCTTCAATCCAATTTTATGATACCTATTTTAAATATGCAAAGTTTGTCATATGTTTTCTGCCTCAGAGAGCGTCTTCATGAGATGGAGCAGCTCCTTCAGCACACAGATAATACCATGTGAGACAGGTGCTGTCTGTGGATATACCATTTTTTGCTCACAAAAAGTAGAAGACCATATAAGTTGGGTATCTGTACAACTGGACATCTGTATAGCAGAGGCGCATCTACCTGCTCCACCACTACATGAGGACTATCACTGACCCAGTAAATATTTGAACCAGGCCTACATTTCCTTGCCTGATAACAAATCACAACAGGTCTGATCCACAGTTAGCTGCCCTTCTAAAGATGGGGAAATTTAGTCTAAAAGATAGTGGTGTGGGTGGGGACAACCAATGAGCCTACAGAATAAGGCCACGAATCTTGTTCTCCCAGGTTCTAATTCATTACTTTGTCCCCAGCCCAAATTAATGAACTCTATCCACACATAGCATTACATATGTCTTTCTCTCATCATTTAAGACAGAATGTAAAGGAGACTTGTTTAAAATATAGTGCGTATTCCAGCCAATATCAATGTTATGTCCCCTTTGCAAGCATACAAAATGCAAAGTGCTCCAGTTTTCTTTTTCTTTTTGGGGGAGGAGATCTGATTTATGATAATATAGTCATCCTACGTATGACAACAATTAAAGCGACTTGGGTCTTCACTGTAGCTCTTTTGAAATGTGAAATAAGCAGAACAAATCTGGTAATACTTGCAATGCAATTAAGCTTTACTGAACCTTGGAAGATTATGTCAGGCAGCAGGAGGAAATCAAAACAGGCAACAGCACACCTGCAGTCAGTAAGTACTTGCAAAAAATAGCAGTAACAATTTATAATACATGAAATACATTAAACTTAAGTTGTATTACTGTTTTTAACTGCAGTCTCTTTGCCCAACCTATATTAGAAGGAGGTGCCATATGGTAAGTTGCATCAATTGATCAAGCCCAGTACTGTCTACTCCAGCTGTTAGTGGCTCTCCAGCGTCAGCTGCAGATATCCTTCCTAACCCAATTGCCTTTAGTCATTTAACTAAAGACATCCAGATTTAATCTGGGGCCTTCTACATTAAAAGAATGAGCTCGGTCCCTGACTTACGTTTCCAGTCCCTGCCTTACTTTCCACTTTATTTTATTCAGAGATTGCCTTCAGAGGAAAAACAAACAAACTGCGATTTGTTTGCAGTGTGAATGAGCTTCAGATTCTTGAGCTCCAACACACACACACACACACACTCGTTCTCCTCATAACAGGGAGCTGTGAGACCTCCTAATCTCCAGTTAGTTACAGTATCCTCATTAGTGAACCTGAGCAAATTAGCTGTTCTTCTCCAGGAATCAGGATTTTAAAGCAGGATTAAACTGTGGTTTAGACAACCAGGAACAGAACAAACCCATGTTTATTCAGGCATCCACATTTGGATACTTTAAAAAAACTGGAATTTTTCTGAAGATTTCCTGAAGCAAGCAGTCTTCATCAATTATAGGTTCATGAATGAGGAAAGAGGAAGAATAAAGATGTAGATGAGCCCAAGAACATGAAGATCACAGAAATATATCGCTGTTTGTTTGTGTCATCCAAGAAGGAAAACTCAATTGCTTCTGGAATCTGCGGGGGAAATGAAAAATATTCTCCGAAGTCCCTCTCTAATAGATCATAAGACGTTTTACTGTATGATCAGGGGATGGGTCCCCCCCCCCCATGGATTGTATGAGATTCAAATGAGCCTACCGGACACAATGTAGTCCATAACTTTCCCCAGACAAAACCATTCTGTCAACTATATAAATAAGAACTTCACTAAACCCAGCATTATTGTTAAGTGCCAGCACACTTTGTTTGATTCTTTAGAAAAGTCTTCCCTATGAGGACATGCTTATCTATCCACATATTAAGAAGAGGCAAACAGTCCCACACTCATCATGTAGGGAATAAAACAAAACTATTGGGGCTGGTGAGAGTGACAGAACAACTTTTAAATAGCCGAGAGGGCATTTCGACCTGGCACAGATGTAATGTTTCCAGATTCCAAACCCTGGATGCATCTATTCATAGGTTATGCCAATTTTAAACACCACAACAGCGAAGCAACCTCAGCAGTTAGTGAAATGAGGATAAGCGAAATGTTAGGATGCCCGCATAGCAATGCCAGCTCTAAATGCTAGAAATACTTCAAATCACTTAAGCCAGACTTTGGTGCATTTAAACCATATTTACTAGAAACAGAATAGGGGAGGTGTATTGGCTTTGACTGTCTTTGGGTCCCTTTCAATATAAAAGCTGAAACGATATCCTATGACAAAGTCACTCCAGGTTGCAATACAGCCAGCTTAAGTGATTTGTGGAGCACAAGTAAGACCCAGACCAAATGTAAGCTCTCAAATTATATCCCATTTTAAGTAAGCAAGGATAGTTCAGACAAATCTGGGCATAAGCGCTCACCTAGGTTCAGCCCTTCCTGACTTTACTCCCAAATTCAGTTTGGCATGTGCATTTTCAATAGCTGCGGTGTCTTGAACTAGGGCTGGAATAAGTACTTACAGGTAACTGCTGTGGTTGCCTACACCGTGACATATACTTTCATGCTAGTCAAGTGCATTCTAGACAACATTCAACAAATTGTGATGCTTGGGAACTGGCACCAGTTGAAGGAGACAGTGGACTGATAAACATAATAACTTTACTTCTCATAGTAAGAAAAAGGTGCACAGGTTGAAAAACAAGCCAACCAACCCTGGGCTACACATTCACATTCTTGCAATGCTGCCTCCTTCTACACCTCTTCAGAATGGCATGTTTGAATGTTCCCCCAGATTTAAAAAAAAATCATATAGAAATTAGGAAGGAAGCAAGGACTGGTACTTTTGCTTCAACTACCTAGCTACCTACAGGCAGGCAGCACTGGACATTCAATTATGCATTTCCCCACCTGCTTTGCAAAGAGATAGGATACCAAAAGGGCAATACTACATGACTCTCTTACATAGCTGAACCCTGAGGCCAGGATCCAAAGATCTATATGATTAGTTCCACAGTCTGAAAGATCCTTTGGACTCGTGTTTCTTGAATACCAGCCCCTCAAACCAGAATGCAAACAAGTTTTCAAGCGGTGTTTGTGATAAGATGTGGGGGGGGGAGGTCTCCTTTCCAAGTCAATTACCCAACTGCAAACAAGTCCTTGGGCATATCGGAAATGGCTCTTTGGATCCTAGGACCTTTGTATTCCATACCTTCAGCTTACAGACCTCAAGGAGCACCAAACAAGACTACAATCTTTAGTTTTTAAATAGGGGATTTCCCCCCCTCGTTTTCCCAGGTGCTTGATTAGAGGTTAAATCCTTTTTAACTTGAAAGCATACAAAAAGGATAACTGGGGAAAAGTCACAAAAGGCCACAGGGAAGGATGAGAGTCCACACTGAACGCAGCATTGCAGTTTCCTTTAACTCTGCACAGAATCAAGATTTTATTTTATTGAAAATGGAACGAACCCTAGCCCACCATCAAGCATTGTAGAAACTGTTCAGTAAATTACGCAAACTTTCTTGTATTAGTGCACAGATGGCATAACTAGGCTGTCTTGAATGCCTCACATTACATATATCGTGTTGGCTTTAATTATTCTCTTCCACTAAACATGAAGGGGGGGATCCAATCATCCTTCAAGTAGCCTTCCTCCAACCTAAGGAGACCTCCTCCTCCTCCCCCCATGGAAGAGCCATTTACATTAGTGGGAGGCTCTTTAGATTGGAAGAAAACATCAAATGTGACCCAAAAAGAAAAGGTAGGGTATAAATACATAAATAAGTAAACTTTTCTCAGTGGAGTGGTAGGATAGGGGTAGGATTTACCCCAGCATCTACCCCAGTAGCACACTGGCACGGAGTGATAACAAGCATGGACTAGCCTGAAAACTATCTTGCTCTGTGCCTAAGCAGTAACAACCTTTATTATCCATGACATCTCTCTTTAGCGAATCTAATAAGCAAATAAAAACTTCTAAAAAAATTGTTTAATGGCATTATTCCCAATAATGTATTCGTTTGTCCTTATTTTTTTACCTTGTGGATAAAGCGCACAGAGATCCCACTGCTACAAGATACTTTGCCGGTCCCCATCCAACATATTCAAATGCTACAGGGAGAGGACTCTTCTCATCTATTAAGTAGTATGGCATCATGAGAGTCAAAGCAGCTGAAACACCAAAATAGGCCATAAAACAGACCAGTAGGGAAGTTACAATTCCAATAGGTATGGCTTTCTGGGGATTCCTGACCTCTTCCCCTGTAGAAGAAAACGCACAACAAGAATTTCTCAGTGTGTGAATAAAAATATGATCAAATGTCCGTTCAGATGTCCTCATGTAGAATGAAAGCGTTCTTATAAACTAGCACATTTGTTGCAATCTTAGATCCATAAATACAAAAACAAAAATTTGAAAAGATTTACATTCTTGGCCTAAATGGAAAGTGATCAACTGTGACAATTTTTATTTGTTTTTTTTTTTTTACCAGAAAAAGAAAACCTTTTCATTCAAGATGTGCCATTTAGAGGACTATGTTATTAGCAGCAAGCATAAAGAATAAAAGAAAATTGTCAGGAAAAGGGAAATGTGGCTTTTTCCTTCTGTCTTTGTAATTTATGGCAATCCCGTATTCTCATTTCAAAGTATGGGGAAAGGTAACAAGATATTGCAATTCAGTGCATAACCCCAAAATGCAAGGGGAGTATGCAAAGTATTGAAACAAATATTTAAATCAGTGATACACACTCAGTGGGCTGAAGTGCTACACATAGCTCATGTGAGCATTGTTTCCTAAGACCCCTGCCCCATGCTTAGGCCCTTAGTCAGCAGCACCCCCTATCAAATCTTTAACCACAATCTCCCCCCCTTCCCCTTTAAGACCCCTTTCCCCCTTCTCGTCTCGTCCAGCTGGGGAAGCTGCAAAAAGCTTGTCTTTCCCCTCCCCTTTTCTGCAAAAGCTCCTTCCTGCAAAGGGGGGAGGGAAAGCGCACACTCTCTTTTGTGCTTCTTCAGGGGACTTCCGCTTCCCTTGCAAAGGGCCACCTGCTTGGATTGGCTTGGGGGGGAGGGTCTCTCTTCTTCCTTCGGCGCAGTCCAGCTTCCTGGAGACAGAGATCCATGCCAAGGCGCTGCCTTGCCCTGCCTTCCATGCTTCCTACCAGCGGTGAGCTGGAAAGGGTTCGGGCTTGCCGCACCAGACCGAAGCTGGCTGGGGTAAGGAGCTACTCCTCCTCCCCCTCTCCCTTCCTGCTCCTTTAATTTAAATATAATGTAATTTAATTTAATCAGTGCTCCCAATGCCCCAGTGCCCCCCTGAAAAAAATCCTGGCTATGGGGCTGCCCATGCTCCAGGAAAGTGGGCAATTTCATTACAACTTGGAATTATTTCATAATTACTACAGGACCAAGATAAAACTTTTATTTTAAATCACAACATGGCTTGCCCTTGATGATTATATCAAGGTTGTTCAGGTATATGGGTTTCTTGTTTGAGGGTGGGATGGGCAAACCACTGTTGAATGCTAATTCATAAAACAAAACTCAGGGTGGTGAAAACCAGTGAGGATTGTGAGGCACTCCAAAGGGATCTGTCAAGGATGGACAAGTGGGCGTCAACATGGCAAATGGGGTTCAATGTGGCCAAGTGCAAGGTAATGCACATTGGAGCCAAAAATCCTAAATATAAATACACATTGATGGGGTCTGAACTGGCAGAGACTGATCAAGAGAGAGATCTTGGAGTCGTAGTAGATAACTCACTGAAAATGTCGAGATAGTGTGTGACTGCAATAAAAAAGGCCAATGCTATGCTGTGGATTATTAGGAAGGGTATTGAAAACAGATCAGCCAATATCCTAATGCCCCTATATAAATCAATGGTGCAACCTCATTTGGAATACTGTGTGCAGTTCTGGTCACCACACCTTAAAAAGGATATTATAGCTTTGGAAAAAGTGCAGAAAAGGGCAACTCAAATGATAGAAGGGTTGGAACACTTCCCCTATGAAGAAAGGTTAAAGCGCTTAGGGCTCTTTAGCTTGGAGAAACGACAACATGATTGAGGTTTATAAGATTATGCATGGGATGGAGCAGGTAGAGAAAGAGGTACTTTTCTCCCTTTCTCACAATACAAGAACTCGTGGGCACTCCATGAAATTGCTGAGCGGTCGGGTTATGATGGATAAAAGGAAGTACTTCTTCACCCAAAGAGTGATTAACACATGGAATTCACTGCCACAGGAAGTGGTGGCGGCTGCAAGCATGGATGGCTTCAAAAGGGAATTAGATAAGCATATGGAGCAGAGGTCCACCAGTGGCTATTAGCCACAAGGTATAGATAGAGGCTCTGGGGCAAGTGATGCTCTGTCTTCTTGGTTCTTGGGGGGGGGGTCAACAGTGGGAGGGCTTCTAATGTCCTGTCCCCATTGGTGGACCTCCTGATGGCACTGGTATTTCTGGCCACTGTGTCACAGAGTGTTGGGCTGGATGGGCCTTTGGCCTGATCCAACATTGGCGTCTCTTATGTTCTTATGTAAAACTCCTAGTAGTGGAGAAAGATTACTCTAGCTGTTCAAAGGTGCTCTGGTAATTGAAAGGGTTATGTTACATATTCTTGTTTGTCTGTGTTCGGGATGATGCGCAGGGCAGACAGCAGTCACATAGCTCTTTTGGTCTATGGGAACTGCTAATGGGGCTCTTCATGAACAACCAAGTGAATACCACTGATTTAGACGAATGAAGAATCCACATCAGAATGCTTGGTAGCTTGTGCCCTGAATCATTAAGTGAGAAAGGTACTTTGAGCTGGAACATTCTGCATGCAAAGCAGGTGTTGTACCACTGTGCTATAGCACTAACATGCACAAGAACTCACTGCTATAGCTTAGCATGTATATACTACAGCTCTATAATATACAAACTGCAACTTTGAATGAGTACCCAAACTGTGTATCTTACCAGTTGTTGCAATGCAGTCAAATCCTATAAAGGCATAGAAGCAAGTAGCTGCACCAGCCAGTGTTCCTGTAAACCCATATGGCATGAAGCCACCAACTCCAAATGCACTGGTCACATTCTCAGAAGAGGATAGGTTTCTAAAAAGATACAATAAAAATACAAGAATGTCAAACAGAGTTTCCCCTCACCTACCAAGGCTACTTAACTAACAAAAAAGCAATTTCTAATGTTACCTTCTATAAATATGGATCATAAAACCCATAAATTAAGATGACTGCAAATGCAAAGTGGATAAATGGCTCTCGACAAACAAATATTTCTTATACAAACCAATATATTCTAGACTCGGTACCAAAGATAAAATTCATACATTAGTCCTTATTTGCTCCTTTACCATTTCTTCTAAATGTGAGCATTACTTCTCATGCCCTGACCTGGATAGTTCAGGCTAGCTAGATCTCAGATCTCGGAAGCTAAGCAGGGTCGGCCATGGCTAGTATTTGGAAGGGCAACCTCCTAGGAATACCAGGGTTGTGACACAGAGGAAGGCAATGGCAAACAACCTCTGAAACACCTCTTGCCTTAAAAACAAGTCTAGCTCACCACCTCGTGCTGCATAACACTAAAGAGCTAGAACTTTTGGCTGCCAGACAATCTTAGGATCTCCTGGCTATTCTACACACAATGCCAGATGATGATGATGATGATGATGATGATGATGATGATGATGATGATGATGATGATGATGACAATGACGACTTCTCATAACATTTAATGGATCAGCACCATAATTTTTGCTTATATGCGGTATAGACCGATACAAGCTCTGCAGAACCCAATGCACAATAGGCCATATGGTTTTAAACTGATGCAGTCTTCATCTAGTAATGTACAGAGATGGCCTCATTTTGACTGGCTTTGCACAGGGCTATATGTTGTCATCACAGGGACCAGCAGTCCTGGGGAATTGTTTAGCAGGCAACGTATTGATGCAAGGCAAACCCCTAGGACATAATTTGCAACCTGGACCTTAGTAAAGACTAAACATATGAACCTGGAGGGCAGTATATTTTCAGGATTTTGACAAAGCAGATGTGCAGAAGAAATAGTCTAAGGCATCTCACAAAAACTGCCTAGAAGTGCAGCTCATATCCCCTCCAGTTATTCTACTTAAATGTCTCAACATTCTCACTAACAGTGCAATCCTAAACAGATTTTCATCCTTCTAATCTAAACACACTGACTACAATGAATTTATAGAATGGTTAAGATTACTCGATAAATAACGTTCCCCCCCCTTTAGTGGCTACACAACAGTTTTAGTAATGCATCAAACCTACATTTTTACTTATTTTATGTTAACAGACCATCAAGCACACATATAATTATATGGCTCATAGAAGCAAAACAAAACTTGTATTACTGTATGTATACTGTGTAGTTTATAAGATATTCTTCAGTTTTCTTCCAGTTGTTCATGTCTCCTTTCACAAAACCAGAAATCATCACAAAGAGGAGGACCAAGATGTTAATGGCAGTGAAGACTTTATTCACCCAAGCAGATTCTTTTACTCCAAATGATAACAAGCCTATAAAAAATCAGACATTATTAATGACTACATCATAAAAGCTCTGCTTTACAACATTTCTATATGGATTTACATCTGTTACTGTTTTACAATACTTTCTCTTTATGTTAGATAGCTCCTCCACTATGAAGAAACAGACACTGTTTAAATTATAGCAATTAAAGACTACAAAACTTAGAATATTATGAGAAACAGTCTGAGACTTATGAAGGAAACATTGTAGAAGCTTAACTGATATAAAATAATAATCAATAGTTATCTGTTTATTAAATTATGTACTATTTGTCTAGGAGTTCGAGGAGATGATAGCAATTGTTTAACAAGCAATCACTGGTAGTGAATAAGAAAATAATTTTATTTATATTAAGTAGACACTGGCAGTGCTATAGAGTAAAAAAGAGAAGTGAAGAGCTTGGATTTATATACCACCCTTCACTACCCAAATGAGTCTCAGAGCAGTTTACAAACTCCTTTCCCTTCCCTTCCCCACAACAGACACCCTGTGAGGGAGGTGGGGCTGAGAGAGCTCTGACAGAAACTGCTCTTTTTCAAGGACAGCTCTTATCAGACCTATGGCCTGCCCAAAGTCATCCAGCAGGTGCAAGTGGAGGAGTGGGGAATCAAACCCGGTTCTCCCAGATTAGAGTCCTCGCACTTAACCACTACACCAAACTGGCTCCCAGATTAGAGTCCTCGCACTTAACCACTACACCAAAATGGAAGGAATAGTTTGTATACCATTCCAGAACTGTATGATATTTGTGTTATGAACATGTGATGTAGAAAACAATAAAATATACTATTAAAAAAAAAAAGATGGCTCTAGAGGCCAGTCCATACATTCACCAAGTCAGAATTTCTGTTTTGGCCCAAATTCAGGGTCTCTCAGTAGCAGCCCCATCCTATGGAATGGAATGTTAAAAGAAGGGCAAGCAGCAGCACCTTTGGCAGCGTTTAGAAGGGTATTCAATTTTGTTTATTGTTACTATTGTTTGCTGGTTCCTGTTATTATGTGTTATTTGTTGATCTGATGGTTTTAATATGTCCTTTTGTTTTATGAAGAGCATTATGGGAACAGCTTTAAGCCACTGTTTTCAGCAAAGCAGTATATGAATATTTTAAATACATAAACAGATAACAATTTATGTGCACGCAAAGACATTCAAGTCCCTCCATAAACTCAACCGCTATCTGTATTGGATATACATGTATACTATCCAGTTCCCTTAGTTCTTATGGTTTTTGAAACAGAAAGACTGTTGAAATGGGATGTATGCAAATACTACCCAATGAAAGAAAAGACATGTGAATGGACTTCTGCCCTAGTACATGCTACAGGATTGCTGGACTGCCAATGATCCAGCTGAGCCTTAGCTATATTTTAAGAACTCCATGGGTTTCTCACAGGACCCGCTGCACTGGATTACAATGCAAATTCTAAAACCACACTGCATTTGTACATAAGAAATATCCACACACAAATGCAAACAAACCCACAATTTTCCACTGAAAATTACTAGACTATTTCTACTGAAGTCTGACAACAAAGTCCATTTAAAATAGTGTTTTAAAAAGTCAAATAAACTCTTCAGTCTTAATACAAAAACCAAAGTTGGGGGGTTGGCCCCCAAATTAATCAGATTATCACCATTATAAATATGTAGTGTCGGGGGCAAAGAAACATTTCATATGATCACAATGGAGTCTTCTCTTTAACTGAAGATAATAAAATGTTAATATATCTTACCTGCCAGGAGTAATATAAGACAGACTGCAAAAAAATCTGGATACTCTGCTAGACCAGAATAATTCATTCTGAAGTAGGTTCTAAAAAAATAACCAATTTGTTTCCCAAGTAGCTCATCAAAGGTGCCACTCCATGCTCTTGCTACACTGGATGTCCCTTAATGAAATAGGAGGGGAAAGTTGTAAATGTTGCAGATCAGAGCTAGCCTTTTAAAGCAAAAAAGAGTGACAATTATTGCCTAGTAGCATTTAGTTGCATTTCTTTCAAAATATGTTAACAATTTCAAATCCTAAACCTAGACCTCTTGATGATTTTGGTCCTTCTTTAGTGTATACATGGTTTTCTATTAGGTCCTCCACTATGATATGCACTCCACTTCTCTGGAAGTCAGACAAAATGTAATTCGTGCTCCAAAATCTGGATACGGTGGTAATAAAAGGCCTGGTTTGAGATGCTATAATACTAAAGTAATAGATAATGGAAAATGATGATTTCATTTTTTTCAGTATGTCACTGAGCAGATTGAGAAACTTAAAAGAAAGAAAAAAGTATCCTTCTGAATGGCCCATGCCCATCCCTTGGGGGAAACAGCCATGAGGAAGACATTATAGGTTGGATCCAACCGCCTTTTCTGTTGGGAGAAAATGGAAGGAAGGGTCCCCTACATGGACAAAAGCCTTCTAGTACAGGGGCTGAAGTAAGGAGGAGAACTGAGGGAGACTAACTGAAAAAGCTGACTGGATCCAACCCATTGCCTGACCCACGGTGTCCTGGCTTACATCTGTTACTTCCTTGCAGCCAAGCAAATCAGTAAAGTAGGTGAAAAATACGGCTCTCCATTCATGTGAACTGGTACTGTGGATTCAGTAACTGTAACCAGAAATATTTTCCTCTGTACAGCTACATTCCCAAGATTACTTGGGCCACTCTTGAGTGGAGGCATCGAAAAGGGCCTTACATGGAATGGCAGTTCTAGAATTTCATTTCTAGCATAGCTATTGCTTTCTATACCAAGCTAACTGAGCAGTCTCCAAAATGAGTTATTGTGGCACTCCACAGGATGCAATAATACACACATCCTTTTACTACTCCATGTCTGAGTGCAAAATGAAATACAGCACCACACCCTGTAATCACACAACAGTTACAGACAGGAGGTGCAGAATAGTTCCTCTAGGAAGTATTCAGTATGCTGGATGCCAGCCAGTACATCAGGAGCCAAGACTTCTTCACCAAAACCATAAACAAATGTTTTATGTTGCTCTCAGAAAGCACAGATGTATCAGTAGTTATCTAACACATTTTTATCCCACCCTTCCTTCCGGGCAATGTACCTGGTTCTCCCTTCTACTTTTCTTCTTGCAACAATCTGGTGAGGGAGGTGAGGGTGAAAAGAGAGTAACTGGCCCAACACAAACCAGCAAGCTTCACGGCAGTTGTGGGGATTTGAACTTCCGTCTCCCAGGTCATAGTCTGATATTCTAATGACCTTCTAGTGTCCTGGCCCACTGGTGGACCTCCAGATGGCACCTGGTATTTTTGGCCATTGTGTGACAGAGTGTTGGACTGGATGGGCCATTGGCCTGATCCAACATTGGCGTCTCTTATGTTCTTATGTACTCTAAACACTGCACCACACTACTATCAGATGTTTAGGAGGACAACAGTCATCTGCTACCCAGAGTAATCTCAGGCCTGTGCACTCAGTCCAGTACCCCTAGGTGAGGCCATCTATTATCCCAAGTTGACAGCCCAAGACTGGATCCTAACAACCTGCAGAGCAAAAGTTTGAAGCCTTCCTCCAATCTAAAGAGCCTCCCCTCTCTCCTCCTTTTTTGAAATGAAAGGAGTGGGAGATTATGGCTTCTAATCTGCTAACCACAATTAAGAGGCTGGGAACGGGCCACAGGATCCTCATGCACATTTTCTCCTCCAGCACAAATTCCATTATTTCATCCTTCTCCCAAGCGGAAGAAAAATGGGTGCGGCAGGGGAAGAGAAGCCATGTCTAGATTTCCCACCCATCTACTTGGGAAGAAGGCTCAGCTTTTTGCTTCTCATACACCTTTAAAGTGCCCCACAGTTGTCAAAAGAATGGAATTCCATGGCCATACAAAGCTACAGTTGAAGGCTGGTGCATTTCATAAGTTACATTTTCCATAAGCCCAAGTATGTCCAACACTTGGCAACTCAGAAATAAATAAAATAAAACCAAAGGGACTCAGTTATAAACAGTCACTCACTTTCTAGCCAGCAACACAGGGCCTAGGGAAAGGGTAATGTATGAAAGCAGCTCACAAACCTTCAATTTACAGCTACATGTCATGGCTAGAAGTATCTCCACTCGTGTTTTTAGCAGGGCTGAAACAATTTATATTTATAAACAAGGAAATAAAGAAATACTTCTCCCCAACATCCCCTTCATTAGAATTTTAAAGACATTTTCTACAATAGTTCCATCATTAATACATACTTCACATTACATATTTCATAAATACTACATACTTGTTATTATAACTTTTAATACACCAAAGTTTGAAGGAAAATCTAGTATCTATCACGCAATAAAAGCTAATAAATATTTTATTCAAAATCCATTTCCTTGTACATTTATATTCAAAACTTGTTCTCCTTTTTCTGCATTATACTACATTTGTATACCTTACAATACATTTATAGACCATTTTAAAACTGTTTCTCATTCTAAGTTTATCTCCTGCTTACATAATAGACACTCCATCTCTCCTCAAATTTCGAGATGGATCTGTTTCTCAAATAAATTGTTAATTTCACCAGTACTGCATAATCAGCAACTTTGTTTTCACATTCTTCTAAGCTTAGACAGCCATCTGATTTCCATTTTTCTGCATAAATAATTCTAACTGCTGTCACCATATATTTAAATATCTCTTCCAAAAGTTTGGTAATTTGTTGGGCAATATTCCTGGTAACGTATTCTGAGCATCCACAGAAAATTTGAATTTTAATATATTCTGCATTTCCCTATGTATTTCCATCCAGTATCTTTTTGCTTTTTTGCAAGTCCACCACATAAGGTAAAAAGTTCCGTCTATGTCTTGACATTTCCAGCATTTTCCTTTGTAATTCTTCTCTACTTTCTCACTGGCTACCAACAGCATACTGAATCCACTTCAAGGTGCTGGTTCTTACCTTTAAAGCCCTTAATGGTCAGGGGCCCACATACCTGAGGGACCACATTTCCCCACATGTTCCCCAGAGAGCATTGTGGTCAGGGTCCCAAAATCGACTTACCCTCCTGGGACCTAAAGACGCCAGGCTGGCTATAACCAGGGCAGGGGCTTTTTCAGTGGCGGCTCCATACTGGTGGAATGAGCTCCCGGAAGAGATCAGGGCCAGTTCCACAGGCCCTGCAAGACAGAGCTCTTCCACCAGGCCTTCAACTAGGAGCCATCCCCCCAATAATTAACTGTGAGCCCTGCCTGCCTTTCGGAGTCACCAACAACAGCCTGAGCCAGCCACATAAGAAACAGAATGAGAAGCAGATCAATTGGATAGGACAAAAACTTGCTGCCGCCATTGCCAAACATCATCATAATTATTATTGCCACACCAATATGTACTAGCACTTTATATCATTTGGATTGTTTTAGAAGATTTTGTGATTGTTTTAACAGACATCTATATGGTTTAATTTTCTGTAAGCTGCCCTGAGCCTGCTTCGGCGGGGAGGGCGGGGTATAAATTTGATAAATAAATAAATAGATAGATAGATATCCGTCAGAGTAATACATCATCTGAAAAACATCTTATACCAATTCTCCCAGCAACTGACTGGCTGCGAACTTAAGTGCCTTTCCCCATAACCATTCCCATGTTTATCCCCAGATATTTGATAGGTTCAGTGGCTACAATGCATTCTGTATGTTCTTAGCATTACTGAACTATTGAGGATGTAACGCAGAGGAAGTGAGCAGACCAAGTCTGAGCTCCTCATGCACTCTCCACTGGCAGCATTACTATCCACAAAGCCTTGGCATATTTGCAGTTCCCCTTTGCTCTGCATATACAGTCTGTCATCCAGTCATCTTGGTTTTCTCCCTTGTACAATACAGTGAAAATACAGCCCTTCCTTTCCATCCCCACAGCAAGAACCCTGGGTCACACTTGGGCAAACTACTGCAATCACTAAGAAGAATCACTAATCATCCCCCTTATCTCTATCCACCACCACTGCAAAAAAGAAAAAAAAAATCACTCCCCTTACTTTATTATTGTGACCATGTGCTATCCCTACCTTAAATCCCTACATTCACTTCTTGAACTCTCCTGGATCCAGCACACACTCCTCGCCCTTACCTTCAAAGCCTTCCACGATCTGCCCTCTCCTTCCCTCCTGGACACGAAACCTCCGCTCTGACATTCAAACACACCTCTCCCTGTGTCCATCACTCCTCCATCTCTATCACCCCAACCTGTCCAAAAGCCTCCTGCTCCTTCTAATGACTCCTATGACCTTCAAGAATACTTTGGAGAATACTTGTGTGCAGGGGTCATTTCGTAGAAAAAGAGCTAGGGGAACTCATTAGCATAACTCATTAGCATATGCCACACACCCTGACATCAGGGGCCCGGCGGTGGACCTGCAAGGCCAGTGGGAGTGCAAGGAAGCCCCGCCAAGGCCCTCCCTGGCCCCAGGCAGGCAGGGGTGGGGAGAGGCGGGGAGGAAGCAACTTAGCCTCCCTCTTCTCCTGCCTTCTCCTGGCTGAATGAGGGCTGGAAGCGGGGCGGCCGGAAGCAGGGGGCGGGGCTTCATCATGTGCCCCGCCCTCCTGCACCTCACCCGGGGGAACTGTGTTCCCCCGCGTTCCCCCCCGAAATGACCTCTGCTTGTGTGATGCCATCTCTCTTACCTCCCGCCACAACCTCCCTTCCATACTGAAACAAAGACTTATGGGAGGGGGCCATGGCTCAGCAGTAGAGCCTCTATACTGCATGCAAAGTTCTCAGGTGAAATCTTCAGCTTAAATGATCAGGAAGCAGGTGATTTGAAGATCTCAGCCTTAGACCCTAGAGACCCACTGCCAATCAGAGTAGATGGTACTGACCCTGATAGACCAATGGTCTGTCTCTGTATAAGGCAGCTTCATGTAATTGGAATTCTTCCCCTACCTTCCTCTCCCTCTCCTCCTTTATGACAAATGGTAAATTGTCCTCAGGGCAGGGATCAGTCTTCTTGTACTCTAAGGAACCATGAATACTGATGTCACTATGTACAGTGCCTTGGGTCCTGAGATGCTCAGGTGGATATATAAATTACTGCAAATCAGTAAAATAAACTAAATAAATCTAGCTTGACAAACTCTTCTACTTAGCCCATTAACTCATCCATCCTCTCAAATCCCAAACCACAGCATTGTCCTCTGGTGCTGTAAGCTGCTAGGCATGCTACTGTCAACAAACCATAAAAGATCAGGTCGATTTAGAGTGCTTTCAGAAGAGACAGATCTCTGCCTTGCCCGTGCATAAAAGGGAAAAGACTGACAATTTTACAGTAGCAACTGGGAAACAAAAATCCAAGTAGACCATTGACTGCCATATTCCCCCCAACTTGGCCCCAGACTCACCTATCACATAGGACAAAATGAGATTCCAGCCAGTGATAAAAGCCCAGAGTTCCCCAACGGTTACGTAAGTATAGAGATAGGCAGAGCCGGTTTTTGGAACACGCGCACCAAATTCAGCGTAGCAGAGACCTGCCATCACAGAAGCCAAGGCGGCTATGAGGAAAGAAATAACAATACTGGGCCCAGAATCAGCCTTTGCCACTTCTCCAGCAAGGACATAAACACCTGCCCCCAGGGTGCTTCCTACGCCGAGAGCAATAAGGTCCACCGTAGATAAACAGCGGCATAATTTGGAATCTTCAAGGCTGTCCAGAGTGATGATTTTTCTTCTCAAAAGGCACCGCACAAATGACAGGGCTGGTCCACAAGTTATCATTTTGGATGAAGAATGCTGGGGGGGAAATTAAAAAGATGATCACAATAAATAAGATATGCATTTTGTTAACTTCGTATTTATTGTTGTATAACAGAAGGTACATTTCAGTGAAACTACGGCCGTTCCAACCACCAGCAAATAAAAATCTCAAAGCTTTAAGAGATTGATTTTGCTTTCTAGGTTGAGGATTGGGAAACTAGTATCTGGGTGCTACCTGTTTAATATGGAGTTTTATGGAGCCAAAAGTTTGTAAAAACTAACAGGTCAAAACTTAAACTTAGAACCGGAGAGAACATAGTGTCTTAGAGTCCCTTCCCATATATGTTTTCTCTAAATCTCAATTTTATAATGAATAGGGAAACAAAGGTAATCCAGTTTGGTGTAGTGGTTAAGTGTGCAGACTCTAATCTGGGAGAACCAGATTTAGTTCTCCATTCCTCCACTTGCAGCTGCTGGGTGACCTTGGGCAAGCCATAGTTCTGTCAGAGCTGTTCTCTCAAGGACGGTTCTGGAAAGAGCTCTCTCAGCCCCACCTACCTCTGGTTGATTCCCCACTCCTCCACTTGCAGCTGCTGGATGACCTTGGGCAAGCCACAGTTCTAACAAGAACTGTCCTTGAAAGGGCAGTTCTGGAAAGAGCTCTCTCAGCCCCACCTACCTCACAGAGTGTCTGTTGTGGGGAGGGGAAGGGAAAGGAATTTGTAAGCTGCTCTGAGACTCCGAGTGAAGGACGGGGTATAAATCCAATCTCTTCTCTTCTTCCTCTTCTTCTACAGCATCAATTTTCCTACAAAATATGTGTATATGGCTGCCCATTTTAATGTTAATCTTGAAAGTGGCTGTAAGGCATGCCATGTTTAAAAATAAAGGCTTAGAAGAAGGCATATCCATCACTACACCCAACTACATAAATGTAACCATTCAGGGTCACTATACTACCGAGGACGATGCTACTGTGGACAGTGCATACCATCTATTCCTGTATGTGTGACCCTATTTTGTAATTTCTTCATTATTTAATATGCCATGTTAATACTTATGTTTTGTTTCAGTTTTGTTATAAATGTTTACTTGGTCTTAATTTCTGTAATCATAATCCTATTACTATGCTTATTGGATGTCACAGTATACAAGACTCCATTGGCTTAGACTGTGTACTCCACCTTGGGTCTGGCCCATAGCTAACATGGGGCCCACCTGGCCTGGCCCCCTAGTGTTTCTTCTGGGCCCCTCCCCCCCAGGCTGCCCCCAAAGTGCTCCAATGTACCACTTGCACTGTACTTTCATTTAATTAGCTTGCAGGCCCCCCAAGGCCCCCTCCCCCCAAATTCCCTAGCTACAGGGCTGGGTCTAAGTGAGAAAGGCAGACTATAAATACTGTAAACAAATAAACGACTGTGTGTAAATAAACTATATAAATATAAATAAACTATATAAATAGTGTATATAAACTATAAAGAGAAATGACACCATGATATCCTGTTCTCTTGGGGTTGCGAGACCACAGGTGGTAGCTGGAGATCTTCCTCTATTACAGGTGACCTCCAGGCAATAGATATCAGTTCACCTGGAGAAAATGGCCATTTTTGGAAGGTGGAAGGTAGACTCTATGGCATCATACCCCATCGAAGTCCCTCCCTTCCCCAAGCCCCGCCCTCCTCAGGCTCCACCCCCAAATCTCCAGGTATTTCCCAACCCAGAGCTGGCAACCTTATGTCCTCTTCCATAGGTAATTTGAGTGTGGGATTTCATTCTATGCACATCCGACATAGCCTCTTCAGAGAATTTTAAGAATTTTTGCATATTTTCTCTATTGTATGTAATGAAACAGAATTTAGTCTTAAGACTATGGCCAACAGAACTATATCACTGAAGGAAGGAATACAGAATTCCTTTCTATTTCATTGCTTCCGTAAAGTAAGCACGTCTTCAAATATTGCAGATCTAATTTAGTTACAAAGCATGACAAAATGAAGTTAAGAGTATATCATCTAACATATTTCATTGTCGTAGAAGCATCTTTCTACTACATGTGTTCATGGTATACTCTCCATCTTTATTTCAGCCCATATTGGAAATACTGCTTCTAAATACTATTTAAAATCCAGTCTGCTTCCTCTTTTACTACCATAGTACATTCCACAAAACTGGTTGTTAGTTTTTATTGATTTCCTTCAATGTACATTCATTCCTGTTCTCATCTGGACAGATTTTTATTGTACCATATACTTCTCAAAAAGCTCCCAATCTAAAATTACCCAATACTTTAACACTCTTGTGTCTCAACCACAAGAGAGCTCCCTTTCCTCTTACAATTAAATGACTCTTTCGCCAGACTCGCTAGTCCTACTTCCTCCTGCTAAGAGATCTTACAAGGTCAGTGCTGTTCCAGCTTTCACCACCCAACTCAGTTCCTCCCTAACCCTAACTCGAAATAGGTAAATTCAAACCCATAATCCTCTCACATCGTCATCTCACTCCATACTAGGTATTCTCTCCCACAATGCTGCCGCCAAGTTTTCCCTTGTCAGACCTCTTCCAAACAGCCACAGTTAAGTGAGCAACTGTTACTCACTTAGAAGTATTTCAGACATCTGTTTTTAAACACAGTGATTCTGTGGCAGGGATCATATCCCATTTTTTAAGTGCTCAGAACAGAAATATTGTGTAGTGATTGCAGGAAAACCCACTTGTCCTTCTGAATGCTCTTCAGAGCATAGTGGTATGTTACAGGGTCTTCTCTAGGTGGAGTGTGTGCCCTCATTTGTGACACAGAAGATAACTCTCTCCCAACCATGTGCCATAGATTTGTGATTTTTAAAGAGTTTTTAAAAAACAATTCTTCAGAGGCGATGCATTCCTCCCACCCCACTTACCACATCAGAGCAGCTGCCTATTCCTGATTCAGAAGAGAAAAAGGTAAGCCAACCTTAGCTGTCACTAACCTGGCTCTCAAACTGTCTTCTACTTTTAACACATCGTTTAAAATGCGGTTCCTGCAGGCTTTTGATTATGCTACACCTACAGAGCCCATCTGTCGTCATTTTACATTCTAGCAGTGAAACCCTAAACAGTGTTATACCTTTGTACTGAAGTCAGTGGGGTTTAAAAGATTTAACTGTTTAGAATTGCCCCGTAAACGTGGTAAAAATGGCCAAAACAGAATTTATGAAACACTGAAAGCAATCCAAGAGAAACCCCCTTCACAAAACATTTGTTTTCATTGTTCTTAACTAATCTAATTAGATTATTCATTTATTAGATTATTTCGCTGAATGGGTTTAGGCTTTCAGTGTTAGCTTATCCTCTTCCAGCTGGGCAAATCATTTGTTTTTCTGTTTTGAAAAGAGAACATTAAACTATGCTCACGCTAGGTGGTATGTTGTTAATCTACAAAGGGAAAACATTGTTCAGAAAAGCAGAGACATTCCATAAAGGGGGGGGGGGGTTGTCAAGATATTTTTCCTGTTTATATCTTCAGTACGGATTTTAAACTCAAATAATCATTTCAGTAAAGAACCCACTTCAACAAACAGTTTCTAAATTGCTAAACCATTTATACGAAAATTAAGCCTCAGATACTATACAGATTCAAAATTAGTTTTACCAGCCTCCCACTTTAAAATACCAACTTCTTTTCAGCCCAGCCTCTACTCACCCAACAATAATATTCAACTCCTGGTTATCTGTAAACGGAGGCAGCAAATGTTCAGGGTGGTTTTACTTAAATATCTGCCTTAAAAAGTGGAAACAGTAGGTGGTGTGAAGCTGCATGCTCCGAGGGGGTGGAGGAAAAGCAGCCACAGGTGATTGGATGACACGGAGCTTACCCGGCTCTTTGCCAAACCCAAAAAGAAAAAAAAAAAGTTTTGCTATTCATATAAATCATTCCTATTATATACACAAAACATGAAGTCATGGTTACTCTCCCCCCCCCTTTAAACAAAGACTCCGTCTTCTGTAAAAACACATGCCCACAAAACTAGTTTAATACCAATACATATTTATTGATGACAGACGCTTTGATCTGCTTAATTAATAGATCAGTTATAAGCGCTCTCTGTGTGTAAAGTGTCATCAAGCTGCATACAGTTTAGGGCAACCCTATAGGGTTTTCAAGGCAAGAGACGATCAGACGTGGTTTGCCATTGCCGGCCCCCTGCACAGCAACCCTGGACTTCCGGAATGTTCTCCGTTAGCCCGGCTGAGCCTGCTTAGCTTTCAAGATCTGATGAGACAGGGCTAGCCTGGGAAGTTCTGCTCTAGTTGCCTGTAAAAAATGTTATTTGCACTATCACTCATTGTATTAGAATGTCGATGGGATGCCTATCCAGTACTGAAAGCAATGTGCTGTAGGCAGAGACCATCCCCATCCACATGATATGCATCTTTTTTAGGACTTTGATTCCTAATCCTGCAAGCCATAAATGTGCAGACGTAAGCTTCTTCATGCAAATCAAGGAAAGTATCTGGACTGAAACATCAGTTCATTAACTGAAGGGGACAAATTTTGATCACAGAGAGGAGAGTTAAGTGTACTTTGCTTTTCGAGCTTATTTTATTTCTGGCGTCCTACTGGTAGGTAAGGAGCTGCGGTGGCTCAAGTGGTTAAGACGCTGAACTGCAGGCTGTGGAAGGTCAGTAGTTCAGCAGTTCGAGACCCGGGTGCCGCATGACGGAGTGAGCTCCCATCTCTAGTTCCAGCTCCTGCCAAACTAGCAGTTCGAAAGCAAGACATTGCAAGTAGATAAATAGGTACCGCTTCGGTGGGAAGGTAACAGCGTTCCGTGCGCCTTGGTGTTTAGTCATGCCGGCCACATGACCACGAAAATGTGTTCGGACAGCACTGGCTCTTCGGCTTGGAAACGGAGGTGAGCACCGCAACCCTAGAGTCGGATTTGACTGGCTTTCAAGCAAGGGAACCTTTACCTTTACCTTTTTACTGGTAGGTAGGTAAGTAGGTAGAGGTTTATTGTATAAAGCCATTGGTCATTACAAAATACAGAATACTATTGGAACAAGGAATGAAAAACCAAAGCATTCATAATTGCCTTCAAAGCTAACTCTGAACAGCACCTTCTGCTTACTAAGTTACAACTGAGCTCATAGTTCTGTCAATGGGCACTGAACTGAAGAATTACATGTGAAAAACCTCAATAAAAGGCAGACAGTTAATCCACTAATTCTTTAAATCAGCTGATATTGAGGTTTTCTGGCACATCAACAGAACAGATTCATTTTTTTCTGAAGACAATCTTCAATGATACAAGTATATACAGGCAAAATTGCCTACACCCTATCCAACAATCAAAAGCTTCCCAAACTTTTATACTTGCACCTTTTGTAAGAAGAGTGATTCACACTTAATATATTTGGTGAAGTGTTTGCAACCTTACGCCACGATCAAAAAGCAAGAGAAAAACTCAATATAAAAATGATGCTTTGTGGAACACATCAAAAATGTCCATCCACTTTAATAGGTAATAATGTACAATTAAATGTAAATATGCTCAATGTCAAGGAGCTGCGGTGGCTCAAGTGGTTAAGACGCTGAACTGCAGGCTGTGGAAGGTCGGTAGTTCAGCAGTTCGAGACCCGAGTGTGCCGCGTGACGGAGTGAGCTCCCGTCTCTAGTTCCAGCTCCTGCCAACCTAGCAGTTCGAAAGCAAGAAATTGCAAGTAGATAAATAGGTGCCACTTCGGTGGGAAGGTAACAGCGTTCTGTGCGCCTTGGTGTTTAATCATGCTGGCCACATGACCACGGAAATGTCTTCGGACAGCGCTGGCTCTTCGGCTTTGAAACGGAGATGAGCACCGCAACCCCAGAGTCGGATTCGACTGGCTTTCGAGCAAGGGAAGCTTTACCTTTTACCTATGCTCAATGTCCAACTCATGCAAGAGTACTTTTTCCATACATATGATGTGCCTGAAATCTGATTACCATTTTGGGCTGGGGGGGCACTTCCTACCTGCTTGTCCTTCCAGTCATCAAGACTAGCCTTCTGCCTGTAATCATGGAGGTTGTGTATTGATAACAACTTCTGAGAGAGTTTGAGAAGATATCATTGCCCACAGAGCAGATGTTTATTCTGTCCTGCCATGGCCTCTGGCCAAACTGGAGTTGTGCATTTCAGCAGCATTTCAAGCAGAACCTTAGAAAAGCTGAAGTTACCTCCCAGCAGCATAAGCAACACTGATGTAATAAATGCAAATACATGTTGACATGACTGTGACAGGCACTTTTGGGGCTGTGCCCACGAAGAGTAATATACGTCTACCTCCCATCGCCTAAGCACTTCTGGAACACTTTGAGTTGTTGTTCTTTTTAGCCAGTTTGGTGCAGTGGTTAAGTGCGCGGACTCTAATCTGGGACAACCGGGTTCGATTCCCCACTCCTCCACTTGCACCTGGCTGGATGGCCTTGGGCAAGCCGTAGTTCTGATAAGAGCTGTTCTTGAAAAAGAGCCGTTTCTGGCAAGAGCTCTCTCAGCCCCACCTACCTCACAGGGTGTCTGTTGTGGGGAGGGGAAGGGAAAGGAGTTTGTAAGCCACTCTGAGACACCTTTGGGTAGTGAAGGGAAGGGTATAAATCCAATCTCTTCTTGTTCTTCTTCTTTAATTAAGTGAAAGAATACATAGGTCGGTACATAAACCTATCTTAAACCCTTTGAACAGTTCACTCGAGAAAAAGTTCCTCCCATTTCTCTCTCCTCAAATCAAGAGGATGGCAGTGGTCATACAGCCAAGAGAGCCGAGGATGGTCTGGTAGCTTGAACCTCTAGCTCTTTTTGTGGTGAGCTAGGTTTATTTCGGGGACTGAGAGAACCGTGGCTGACCCAAGATCACTCAGCTGGCTTCATGTGGAGGAGTGGGGAATCGAACCCATTTCTCCATATCAGAGTCTGTCACTCTTAACCACTACACCAAACCGGCTCTGAGCTACCCACCGGAACTCACAATGCATGCAGCGCCAGATATCAGCTCCTAAAAATCCACTCACTATGTGGATTTAGGCAACGATTATCCTCTCCAGTGTAGCGTCAGTTAAAAAAATGTTTTTCCCCTTTGATGTTCACCCATTTTTAGTGGACAATTGAGAACACTATGCTAGACATGGTATTATCGAAGAGTAATGCTTTGAGCGCTGACAGGACAAGATTCAAAAGACAGCTGCAAGCAGAAGCATGATCATACATTGCAAGAGCAATACACTTGGGGGAAAGCAAGCCCCGGGGATTTTCAGTTAGTACAATTGCCTGCACCAAACATTACCCATACAAGCTCTACCTCTTCTTGCACCACCAAACAGCTATAGCATAGTGTTGTAGTTGGACATCCTGATCCCCAAAACAAAACGAACAGGCTGTTTGACTGGGCGCACAACATTCTGTATTTCCCACAAGAAGAGTACAGCACAGCCCATTAATTAGCCCATTATTTTAATGCTAATTTACAATATACCGCCTCCTTCTATATTTTGCCCCTTGAGTCCACTCTCTGGCAACTGCATATCTTACAAGGAACAATGAGAAAAGGAGGAGAGGGAAATCTCTTGTCCCAAATCATGGGCGTCATCTTAATTTGGGAAACGAACTTCATACTTTGTTTGCCCTACAAGCAGTACCTCAGGTTTACTTAAATCAAATGCTCTTAATCACGTATTTGCTTTTAAGCAATGAAAAGCAAACAGTCACTGCAGTGCTTAAACATGTTACATGGCTGTATGTCAGAAGGCAAAGCGACTGCTTTACGTAAACCATAAGGTGTAGTTTTTGCAAAATGCTGCAATTAGGAAAAGGGCGTGAACAGTTGTTCCCCCAGACTGTCTGCATAGTTATGCAACTTAACAATTCTGCTTTAAATCTATACTTTCTGTAACTCCTGTCTCTAAGACCAAGAAGGCCATGAATAACGTAACCCGATCCCCAAAACACACTTCTTTGCAGTTAAGTGCTGCCCTAAAGCTAACCAGCATTCCTCAGTTTTCACGCTGTATCAGACTGTTCTATTTCTATAGACACCATATTCATATTTCCCTCTTTCAGATATACAAGGCAGAGTCTATTAGAAGCAAGCACACACCTAGAGACAAGCAGCAAAACTATATACCTTGTATCAGATTTCAGAAACTGCTGCAACCCCTCCCAGGCTGCATTCAGCTTTAGGTAACCGCAGTGTTCGTTGCATTTGCTCCCCCCTTCCCACCTCATGCTCAATGCAAACTGCAAAACTACTTTTCTCACAACTGTGATGGGAATTGCAACTTTGATGTAAGGAACAAAGAACATTAAGTTCTTTACTGAATCCATGACCATCCCGCTTCCACAAAACTAATCAGTGCTACAGGCAAAACCCATTCCAGGGAGCCAGTGTAGTGTAGTGGTTAAGAGAGTCAGACTCGTGTCGGAGAGACCCAAGTTCAAATCCCCACTTGTGCCATGGAAGCTTACTTGATGACCTTGGGCCAGTCACATACTCTCAGCCTAACCTACCTCACAGGAGGATAAAATGGAGGAGAAGAGAATATTGTAAGCTACTCTGGGTCACCACTGGGAAGAAAGGCAGGGTTCAAATTAAATTAAATAAGTAAATTTATAATAATACATCACATTTGTAACACTCTATTCAGATTCTGCTGTCTTGACTTTAAGCAGCAGCATACATTAGAAATTTCAGTGGCACTGTTTGTACCCCATACGAAGATGGATACTTCTCCCAATGCACTTCTGCAACAGTTGCTATTCCAAAACCAGAATTCATGTTTTCAACATAAATTCTTGCCATCACCACAATCTCTACATCAATTTAACATATTCCCTTAAAATGTAGTTCATTTTTTAAAAAAAAAACCTTTAAAAAAAGTCTTCATAACAGGAAAAGGGCTCATGTAACAGGGAGCAATTCTGGAAGCAGTGGGAAGCTTACTGCCAACTTCTGCAGAGAGCTAAATTGCAATCTTTATGCCATTGGGAAATGCTCAGTTTATTTTCACGGTGACAAACACTTGCAATCACAATAACATGATAAACACAGCAATCTCTACAGAACAATCCATACAAAATTGACTAGTTGAAAAAAAGGATTTTCTTATTCAAAAGAACAACCCCTGAGGGATACAAGGTATTTCTATATGTACCACTTTTCAAAAAGTCTCTGTTTTGTAGTAGACAACATGTGATATTCAAAAATGCTGCCACTCACCTCAGGGAGTCCTTAGAAACTCTGATTCACCTTAATTTTAGGCAGGGGGAAATGATCTTGTAAATTGCTGCCCAGTGACCCGCTACGATTTTCTAAAATAACTATAGCAGTGTACTTATCTTTGTCAATAAATACAGGAACTGCCAGAGAAGGTCACAGAAATATTTCACTGGAAGCTGCTTCAGGTCTACAGAAGGGGAGGTTTAATCCACTTTCATAGACAGAAGAGCCTAGCAGCTATATAACAGCCACCAGTAATTTAATCTGGTTTTCAACAAATCCAAAATGGTTAGAGGAACGATGACTATATATCATTCTCCAGATGTTCCCAAGCAAGTTAAAGAAAGTACTCATAATCTTGTGGGCAGTCTCAGCTCTTCACTACAACAGTGATTTTTTTAAGCAATTTATGGGAGGATCTATCCTTTTAAAGGCATAGCCCTTGAACAAACTCTTGTAGTCAAAATTTAATCAATCCATTTGCAAGAGGAAATGCTGAATATAGTAAGACTGTGGTAAGGACTGGGGACAGGAAGCAGAAGGGGGAATAAAAAGTTACAGCTAATTTCTCGTCCTTACTGAAATTACTATAGAGAGCTAGAAAGTTTAACTGAAAAGTAGATGGTAAGCAAATTTATCATACATACAACTAGCCAAAGTCTAGTGGACTAGTAAATTTATAACAACCCATCCCCCTTTTTTCCTAGTTGTCATTCCCACTTTAGTAAATTACTGGGATCTAGTTGACTGAGGACACTTTTGGTAACTTTTGTACTCTGACTCGACCCAGATTACCCCAACAGGATGGATGGCTTAGGAAGACAAATATCACAACAGGTCAAAGCAGTAAAACATGGTACAAGATGGTAAGTAGCTACGTTTACCACATTTATACATCCTGAGGGGCCAGCTGTGGGGTTCAAAGATTTCTGCCCAAAAGAGCTCGAACGATGGACTGATTTTCTCTCAAGAACTGACTCGGCTACATACCTCTTCAAAAGAAAACCAAGAAGTAAATGGCTGAATTTGATAGGAAGTGTGAACACCCATTTGATGAACATCTTTTGTATTTGACATGGTTCTCTATGGCTGCGCTTATCTCTCTTTAACAACAACAAAAAAGGAGAGGACACTGGGAAGCCCCCCATGGCAGAATAACCCAGCATTCTCTGTTAAAGGCCTTAGAACTTTGTCACAGGGAACTTCCTTGAGTCAAGAAATTTGAAGGCTCTTCTGGTGACGTCCCACTTCCCTTCCACACTGCTCCCATTCCAACCCTGCAGGACAGTGTACTGCAGTCACAAAATATCTCTGAAAACAAGCTGGAACGGAGAAGGTTGCAATTACCCCCTTAATGCCAACGTAACTGTTTGTACTACACCAACATAAAGGGTCAATACACACTTTGCGTCCTTGCTCTTTCAAAACAAATGCACTAAAATCAATTATTATGGGCCAGCATTGAATCAACACTTTCTTTCTTGGGAAAGCTCCCCCCCCCCCCACTTTGGGTTGTGTAGCAAAAAAATTATGCATAGTCACCATACCAAGTAAATTTGGATTTGTGCGTCACTATACCAAAAAGGTTGGGAACCACAGTATTGAAGTCACATGGAAATGGCCCACGGCCTTTCATACTTCTTTGAGCAACAAAGGCTCTGTAGGGGTAGCATAGGTACATTTAAATAGTCAAAATAAAACCAGCCATTCCTTCCCAGTTGCCACTTCTGCACTTATTGCATTGAGAACTGGGCCCCCACCTGCTAGTCACAATCAATGGTGCTGGACACAGTTTAAAATTTTAAGGGCAAATCTGCTCTGTTAAACAATTTTGTTTTAAAAACGGAATTTTTTCCCATTCGCTTTCAGCTTTGCATGAATGCATACCTATATGGGTGAAATAATTTCTTCATTTTACTTCATAATTCCAAGGATGCGCATGCACATACCACTGCCTGGACTGAGGTATTTTATTTTCCATTTTTATATGCAACTGTTTTACACATGCAATAGTTGGATAAAATATTTTATTCTTGTTGATTGTTTTTTAAGTGCTTCTGTGTCTCTATATGGAGGCCTGTATTCAACCATGCTTTTCTGAACATTTAAGGGCACTTTTCTGACAAGGGGGTAGAAATTCCCACCAATTCTCTTCCTGCTACACCCCACTGAGCCTCCTCCCCTCTATTTTGTTCCAGGGGGTTCTAGAGACCCTTAAGTACAGAATAAAAGGCAAAATAAGAGGAGAAATTGGCAGACACTGACACCTTCTCTTAAGTAAGCCTGTGTCCTTAAGTCTTTGGAATGTGTGGTTAGAGATAGGCCAGAGTACTTGGCTACACTCTACTTTATACAAGGGTCACCTTAGACCAGCGAGAGGGGGAGAGAGATACTGGTACTACTACTGAATTTGATTAATTATCTTAACGGGAAGTATCATTCCTTTGCAAAATTGCTAATAGAAAAGCTTGTGTGGATTGCAGGCAACCTGGCCACACCTCTTGAATGGTGGGGACTTGACAGCAGTGTTCCCGCTAAGCTGAGTTAGTGTGAGCTAGCTCACGGTTTTTTAGCCTCTGGCTCACACATTTTTGTCTTAGCTCAGGAAGGATGGCTCCAGAGCAAACTAATGTATGCAGCAGCCGAATCCCCTGCTCACAACATTAATGCCAGTAGCTCACAAGGTAGAATATTTGCTCACAAGACTCCATAGCTTAGAGGGAGCATTGCTTGATAGGCGTGTTTATTATTCATAACCATTCTCTTTGGCTTATATATCAAGCAGTGCTGTCTGTCCATATTCAAAGAAACTACTTTAACTAGAGATTCTTACATCCGACAAGCATTCAAAAAATTCACAAATTCTGTAAAAAAATATTTCCCAGAGGCACATTTTGAACAAGATAACACAAAACTATGTCCAATGTTGGACCACTCATATTTTTTTAAAAAAGACGTTCTCTGCCAATATCTCATGTTGGGAAGTCCCATTTTCCATCTTACTTAGGAGAAAGACACATAATTTAGCCATTACAACAGTTAAACTAACAAGGAGAGAGTTACCAGGGTCAAAATGGTCACTTTTTAAAATGGGAATTATACTGGGCTGTCTATTATTTAGAAGACACCAATTATTGGGTGGGATCCAACCAGCATTTCTGCTGATGAGAAAAATAGAAGGTACCCTTTGACTACCCAAGAAGGCTATGCTGGAGATCATTGGACCTGCATGGACAAAAACCATGAGGGACAAGAACTGAGCATGACTGAATGATCTGACTAGATCCCAACCACTGTTTATGACTTTTTTAGATTGAACTGACCCTCCTACTAGCCCAAATTAAAGATCTCAGGAGATATGGGTCTCCAAGGCTGCAGTCCTAAACACACTCACCTGGAAGTAAGTTCTGTTTAACTCGACATCTCTGAAAGAATGCTCACGTTGACCACTATGGAGTATTACTGTGGACCCCTGGAGCATATGCATTTATATCTCAAGAAAAACCTGTACTACTGAAATGGATTCCCTTCTATTTATTCACTAGGTCTTGTTGCTTTTAATCAATAACACTATTTTACCTCTCACCTGGTGGTTAAAGTTTCTACAGTGATCTCTTGTGCAAGACATCAGCGAACCCTTCTATTTCTACTTTAGCCTCACTTACCTCCTTAAAGAATCGCTGACAAGTTAGAAGGGATGATTTATTCTCATGAACCGTTTAGTTTTCCTGATCATGTGGCCATCATCCACCTAATCTGCATGTCTATTTTTACGCTACTTCTGGAACTCAAAGTGAAGTCTGCCTGATGTAATTACCACATTCACCTTTAGCAACATTTGGAGTTCTTTTTCACCCTTTGTATTACATTTGACTTTCCTTTATACCCAGTAACCTCTTGAAAAAAATGCATTGCCATGTCAGATTTTACAGGGAGAATGTGAAAATTACATCGACAAAGAATCCCAAGGTTTCATAAAGACTATTACAGTTAAAAGTAATATTGCGTACTACAGCCCAAGTGTAATTTCTCTGATTTGAGTTCAGAATGCATATGTTACATGAAAATTCCTTGTTTTACTGTGCTGTATTCTGTGGCATCTAGTTCCAGTTGGTATGTTTAGGACTGCTTGGTTTATCTGCAACAGTAGTTTCAACAGCAACTAGCTTCAGCTTTCTTTCACTGGTTTACAACTACTATATCTTACCTATAAAATGAAAAGAAATGTCAGTGTAAGGCAAGGTTAGGCTGATGCAGCATCCAAGTGCCTCCCAGCTGTCACAGCTCCACAGCAGCCACCCATTGGTGGGCTACTGGTGTAGGTCCCAGTGCCAGTGGGCGAGTTGGGGAGAAGAAGAGATTGGATTTATACCTGACCCTTCACTTGGACTCTCAGAGCGGCTTACAAACTCCTTTCCCTTCCCCTCCCCACAACAGATACCCTGTGAGGTAGGTGGGGCAAAGAGAGCTCTGAGAGATCTGCTCTTTCAAGAACAGCTCTGATGGAACTTGCCCAAGGTCATCCAGCAGCTACAAGTGGAGGAGTGGGGAATCAAACCCGGTTCTCCCAGATTAGAGTCTGCACACTTAACCACTACACCAAACTGGCATGGCAAGAGGTAGTTGGCTCTCTAAGCAAACCATTTTAACTTAAGAAGTTTCCCCCCCCCCCCAATCAGTGGTGGAAGGTTATGCCAGCAAAAAACATGGTGTAGCCCACAGGCACCCTTGCAAGCAAAAAATGAGAGGCACCCCACTGTCTCAGCTATACCCCAAAGGCCTGAAGGAACACAGGATGACAACTAAAGTTGCATCCAATCACCTCCTTCCTCTGCAGTGGCCAAATCCCTACCCCAGCATCCAATTGCTGCCCCCAGCCCTACAAAAAAACCCAGGCAGGACACCCCAAAACTCATTAGGTAGGGTGTGTGGCATGGGACTCTGTCTCATGTAGTGCCAGTTTGGTGTAGTGCTTAAGTGCACTGACTCTAATCTGGGAGAACTGGGTTTGATTCCCCACTCCTCCAATTGCAGCTGCTGGATGACCTTAGCAAGCCACAGTTCTAACAAGAGCTGTCCTTGAAAGGGCAGTTCTGGAAAGCGCTCTCTCAGCCCCACCTACCTCACAAGCAATGTTTCCTTTAAGCTGTGGAGTCTTGTGAGCAAAAATTCTACTTTGTGAGCCACTGGCATTAACGTT